ACCTCTTTAATGCTGGCAGTGACATACAACATCACATTTTTTTTCAACAAATTAACTGCGTGTGTAACTAACCCAAACACTCATGTATCACACATCACAGTACCACATAAGAAATAACTCCCATCAAGAAAAATGTTGCACAAATATGAAATGCAGACCAGCAAACCACAATATTATAGTGAAAAGAACCCTAACTCCCTTCAACCCCATGCCACACAATCCAAACAACAACACACAGATTTGTGCAGGCTTTTGCGTCATAATCCACTATGTGATGAGCATGTCATGATGTGAGATGAAACCTTTGTTGGCAGGCTTGTGAGCAGGGCCCTGTGAGAATAAATGACACAAAACTGTCAGTACAGATTGTCAGAGTCCCCGCTGTTACAGAGGAAGCAGCCTACTTCTTTGCCGGCTTCACCGCAGTAAGCGACTTGGCAAGGATACAAGAGTTGCTTTCAGTATGTGACATGGTTGAGTGTGCAAGAGAGTACAAAGTCTAGTGAGATGAAATGTGAAGAACCCGGCAGATCAGAAATAAATGTGACTAGAATGTATGTAATGAATATACGATAGAAGATAAAGAGGTGAGCTTGCGACACAATGAGGAGAGGGGAGTTGAATGAGGACCTCATGGAGTATAAGCAACACTTTATACACACATAGAAGTAGCCAACATCCAGTTATCGACATGACTAGCTATAGAAAGTCAATCAAAGTCTTGTTGTCATCAGATTCACGCATCTGGCTTTGCAATGGTGTGATGATGCTCACATTCCTTGTCAAACAAAGGTGTAGATTTGCCAAGCATGACAGTCCTTACTGGTTTCACCTCAAAACTTGGAGGAATGGGTCTTGAAGAGGAACCTACTCATCCTTTTAGTGCAGCTCATCACAGCAGATGCGATGATTGTTAACGTTGTGGTAATCAATCAGACCAATCAAAAAAATTGAAGTTTGAGAGAAAAGAAAAGAACGAGTAAAAATTCGTACGTGGTAGAGGATACTCGCTTCTCCCTAGTAATGGATCACCAAGTCACTTCCTGCTTACATTCGTCTATCTGATTGTGAGTAGACATTACAAAGTGAGAAGCTTTTGAATTTGTGATCTCAAAGTGCCATTTAAATCACTGTCCTTTTCCGGAAAGTCGACATTTGGGATCATAAAAGCGATGAAGAAAGTATGATCTTGAACTGGTGGAAAATGTTCAGGCGCATTTGTGCATTAGCATTCTGATCGTCAAATGCGAAAAGGCAGAATGAACGTAGGACTGATAAACTAATGACCTTAAATAAAGATATAAAATGAGCTCAGCAACTTCTCATCAAAAGTCATTCTCATCAAAGGTCAAATCCCAGAAAACTTGTTGCTTGATTCGCATCTCAAGAGAACAAATCATCTAATCGAAAAAATCCAGCATCCTTTCCACTACAAACATCTGATTGCTACCATAGCACAATCTTACTCAACCAATAATCAACAGATACTCTTTCGTTCTCTTTCCATCATCAAATCACACCTACCAACTTCGTCGGAGCCTATCAACAAGATGAGTTCTGACAGTAACTCGCATACCAGCAGAGGAGAAAGTGTTGCTCCACATAGCTCATCACTCCAATCAAACAGCCCCAGTCACCAACACGTGATGAGTGATCTTCTTCCGGACTCGCCTCAGGTAAGCGCACTCCCTTACACCGTAACCCTTTTCAAGAAACAAACAGTCTGACGTTTTTCCTTTGATTCTGCATTATCTTTTGATTTCTCATTTCTTTCCATTCTACAGTCCGATCAGCTCCAAGATGTTAACATGCCCGACATACAATCAGAAAACTCTCAAGAACTCTCAATCGATTCTCTATCCTCAGTCCGCTTTTCAAGTGAAGAGAGTATCATCGAACACAGATCTGATTCACAAGACCAATCTATGGAACAACCCATGTTTCTTGCAGGCTCCCATGCTCTTAACGAATGTAAATGTTTTGATCCTGTAAGCCCCATCGAATATGAATCCGAAAGTGATTCTCGACCTCAATCTGTCGATCTAGAAAACATGATTCTATTCAGGGACGAGGCATCACCAGGTTTCCTAGATGAACTAAGCCAAGGAATAAGTGACAGTTCCGATTTCGAGCCGGCACGCCCTCTGAGAAGAGTTGAGTTAGGACATGACCCGGAGCTTAATTTGGCTGACCCAACCTTGTTGACTCCGAGGAGACTCTGGAGATATATCCATGGTGAAGTGGATGCGTTGGGTAATCCTAGAAGTCCTACTTCTATAGAACTACATAAAATTCGACAAATCACTCCAGATCCACTTTCAAGTGACAGTTCAACTAGCTCTGAAGAAGAAGAACGATCAATACGAGAACTACTTATCCCGGCTGACCGTTCTCTCAACCGTTCCAGCTCTATTGATACTGAAGGCTCGCTCGAATACCTACCCGCGATCGAATCTGGATCTGATCATCAAAATCAAAGCATTCAATCTCGTCCACCTACTCCTGGACCTGGATGGTCTGACGGAATCGAGGTAGGACAAATGTTTGATTCTCGTGGATCACCACTCACAAGCGATTCTTCTGACGGTGAAGAACTTTCATCAACCCAAGATCGTAGCGCTCTTCATCACTATGCCAGGCTGGTCGAGCGACAGCCAACACCAGGCCCGTCGCATCAACAAAGTCCAAATTCCGGGAACCCTCATTCATTGAGTCCAGAGACTTTGAGACTTTGGCGATTAGGTTTTGTAGATGCAAGAGGAAGAAGATCACCTCATTCTATGAGACACTCCTCTCCTTGTTTAGGTCCGAGCTCAAGAAATGTGTCAGTAGGAGATTCAGATATCGCCACAAATTCGCCAAGAGACGAGGTCAGTGGTTTGACTCAGAACCTTGAAACTGTGAGCGCATTAAAACCTAAAGGCAAGAAAAGAAAAAATCAAGCCACCGACTCACCTCTACCCCCGAAGAAGAAGACCAAACCCGTCAAGAAATCTACACCATCAAAGAAGAGAGAAGAACCTCAAGCTCAACTTACTGATGTTTCTTGCACCATAATTTCCCCTGCTATGCCTCCAACTCCGACCCAACCTCAAGCTCAACCTATTCCTTCTTCTCAAACCAGAAGCTCGCCTGCTTTACCAACCACTCCGCCAAAACCTCAAGACCAACCTTCTGGTGTTTCTCGTGCCGGATCTCAGCCTGCCCGGCCTGAGACTCTACCAGAACCTCAAGCGAAGGGAGAATCAAGTCCACCTCAAATCCAAGCACAAGCTGAAACTCAAATGGAAGGTCAAGCTCAAAGGCCTGTAAGAGCTTTGAGACCTAGAAGATTAGATGGAAGAGCTGCTACTGATTTAAGAGCAAGATCTTTCGAAGTAGGAATTGATTCAAATCAAAATAAGAAAAAGAGAGGAGTTAAAAAGACTCAAAAATAAATGAAGAAGAACCAAAGCAAGAAATTCAGAATGGTGCTGAAACAAGTTCTTCAAGAAATTTAAATGCTGCAGAGAATCCAGGAGTAGTTGATGATCAAGCGCAGGAATAAGTAGTGGAGAACCCCCAAGCAGAGGTAAAAGTCACGGAACCTCCTCGTCTCAGAAAATCAATCCTAAGAATTCGTTCACCTAGTAATCCAGTTAATAGAGTTTAACGATCAGTCCATTATTTTTTCATTTGATCCAGTTTCAAAATTAAAGCAAAGTCACAAGAAATAGATTGATAATCATTTTGTAAATAGATCTTTAGTACTGATACCTTTCTTTGTACATAGAATTTTTTATAATCGTTTTTTTAGAAATTTAATTTGTTTTTCAAATAATCGTCAGATAAAAGTTGATTCGATCAACTAGACCATTTTATCAAGACCGCGTAAGAGGCTGATTTGTTTTTGGTCCGAGCCTTTGAGCTTATCATAATCGCAGCCATTCCCAAGTGACAGAGTCGAGAGGTCATCGTTCCTCAACGGACTTTTTGACCAACTTCCGTTTCGTTAGAAGCCCCCGTACCATCTTTCAACGATAATGTTACTACACGGCGTCCATCAAATGAATTGACATCGAAAGCGAGCTTGAATTATTTGTCAGGAGCTTCCTCTCGATCTTAGATGGTGACCTTGAATGCTCACTTGAGGGATCATACAAGCGTGATGATGAATGAAAATTGTTAAACAATTTATGGATTAGTGAGTATCAGAAAGCTTTGAGTGGATTTTAAAGGTTTTTCATTGGTGATGTTTGGATGGACTGCACTTGTGGAATGAGAGAAGTTTTACTCTTGTTTTTTTCCTTCATGGAATGATAGTGAGTGCAGACTTTGATCATACAAAATGACATGTACTTTTAAGCCCACTTCTCGTTTTGATCGATCAGAAACAAAGGAAGTCCTTCATCAGGAGAGGATCAAATGACTGTGAATAGATTCAAAACTCTATTCAAAAATTCGAAGTGGTTGACTCAAGTATCTTGAGTACTTTGATATATTTCAATTGATACAAAAATCATAGATGATAGAAAAGTATGATCACTATAAAGATACTAGTTTACAAGAGTTGTTCAAAGGTAATTCTTAGATTGAAATTCATTCTTCCACCAATCTTCAAAAGAGACAGTTGAAACATCTATACCAAGTGTTTCAATAGACTTGGTGCTTAACCGACAATCTCTAGGTCTAATAGTTTCACCAGCTTTTGGACCTTCACTTACTCTGACCAAATTATCAATAGGTAGGTTTAATAAGTTGGCAAAAACCACTGCTATTGAATACTTTGTGTACATTTTCTGTGAAGAGAAATGTAGGATCGGAGGATAAGGTTTTTGAAAACCTGTAAATCATGATTCGAATACAATTATTAGAGTGATACAATTGATTGAGGATTCTAAAAGGTGAAATGACTTACTTGCAAGTTGACTGATCACCTTTGCTACATCGTCTACTAAAGTTGGATATCTAGTTGCCCAATCATCCATTTTTATCGAATAACCTTGCGATGATTTCTTTACACCATCGATCAAGATATTGATAGCTGGGATCAGAAAAGCCAATCATTTCAATCTTTGGTTTATCATTTCATTTCTTTGGTTTGAATTGAAAACTGACCAGATTCGTCGTTTCTTTCAGCTTTACCATAACTATCCAAAAGCGAAAAGCATCGTTAGTTTTTTTTCAAGTTTCAGTCAGTCGTATAGCTTCGAAGTTGAACTGCTTTGTGAAAGAGCTCACAGGACTGGTACTCTAAGTGAAAGGACTTGACCCTTTTCACCCGAATCAAGAATGGCTTTCTCACCAGCTAACTTGGTCTCACCATATAAATTAGTGGGACTGTTTGGTGAACAAGCAATAGACATCAGTTTGGAGTGAAAGTTTGTAAAGCAGAACAACAATTTATAGCATACTTTGGTTTATCATTGACATCATATCCTCCTTCTGGTGCGTTACCATCAAATACTATTTCCAGAAATAATTGAAGAAGATCAGATATTTGAATTTTGATTGATAGATTGTCTTGAGAGTTGAGTTTACTGACCATAATCTGTGCATATATAGATGAGACGAAATGAATACCGCTTGGAAAGTTCGGCTAGATGTTTGGAAATGTCCACATTAAGCTAGAATCCAAAGATGACGTACCTCGAGTCAGTTTACTACTGGTTCGACTAAAGTGATGAATCATGAAATGTAAAAGACAAGTAAAAAACCACTCAACTTGCTTAGTTCCTTCTGGATCTTTTTCAGCTACATCTGGTCTTCTCTCTGCTGCGCAATGCACAAGTAGGTTCGGTTTAAAGTTTTTGATCAATTCTTCTATTGCTGTTGTATCTCGTAAATCGATCTATAAGAACTCCAAATTATCGTCAGATAATTTCAGGTATAAAATTTCTATCAAGGTAGGAATCCAGTAAACATACCTTTTCGAGTTCGTCTGTGGCCCTGCTGAAAGCCAGGCCTTTGACTGATTTGATTGAATAACTGAACTACTCAGTATCTGCCTTACGAAACACATTGACTCGAGGGACGTTTGATTCGAGCGATCATGTGTACCAACCTATATGACCTTGCTTTTTCAAATGTGCAACCACCGCTCTACCGAGAAGTCCTGGATGACGAAATGAGAGATACAAACAATTCCGTTCTCTGATCGATTGATATCTGACTTCCGTAGGTGGATTCGCGTGATATGGTGTAGGAATCTTACCTGAACCTCCGGTAACGGTGATCTTGATAGGTTCTGTAGCCATCAGATCAATCGAGTCGATTAGAGAACTTGGTAAAATGTGGAACTGGGGAAACTGGATGAACCTGAAACGAGATACTGTACAGTTCAGTACAGTTTCTCTACAACATCTCTCGCCGTCTAACACCCCGAACAACCTAACCTCAGCCCCCTCAGGATCGACGTTATTCATACCTCGCAGTGATTTAAGTATGCAGAGTCCAGGCAGTACATAGAAAAATTCTATGAGTATGATATTGCTGTCTGATTCCTGGATTGGTCAACAACATCGGCTAGAACCTTTGATCGCCTGTCACCGTCTTCTGACCCCAGCAAAGTTTCACGGCAAAAGCGAGGTACTCTGTTGAATTTAATCATCTTGACTCTTCACTGCACAAACCGACGTTGAGATGCTCAATGGCATGCCCAATCCGATTGTTGACGGTCAAGCTAAAAATTTTGTGACCACGATCAAGATATTTGCCAACTGACGCAGAAAATCCGCTGCTTCATGGAATCCGAGAGCCCCACTTGGATTCTAAATAGATTTTTCTGTTCACTCTAAAGTCATTGATTACTCTTGTTATCGACTAAATGGCCGTTTTTGCAAGGTTTACCAGTCCTTTTAAATGTATCGTTTAGTGAGTGTTATATGCAATTATGCCGAAAAGCACTAAAAAAAATTGTGCGGCGAGCCGTGAGTTCTGCACAGCACCTACAAAGCCCTCTCTGCGCGGCCATGTCCGCGCCCTCGCAGAGGGGCTTATAAATGACCCCGGAGAGCTCTTATTGAGGTGCATGATGTAAAAATTTTTCCTACACTACACACACTTCACCACAGTTTACATTCATAAAAACTTGACCAAATCCTTTACTCCTCCCTCAATAATGCCTAGCCAGGAGCCAAGCGCTTTGTCAACTGTGAAATTCATACCTACAAAATTGTGAAGAGTTTTCAAGGCGGTGTAGATGCTGTGGAATACACAGCAATACACAGCAAACATGAGAAAATAAAACCTTTTACATCCCACACCTCTACAGGAGCTCTCCAGGTTCCTGCTTATGAAAAATTCTAGAATTTTGGCGTGAGCACTACACTTCTTAAGTGTCCTTAAGTAGTTTTTTGAAATTTCACACTTCCCTCACAAACAGACCTCACCTGACTCTGCAGGACAGGTTGTTCTGATAGAAATCCTACATAATCTTGTAGCCTAGCATCATGGCCAGTCTGAACGGTGTGGCCAAAAAAGGTGTTTGATGATTCTTACAACACACCTGTATTGTTGATTCAAAAATTGGGTACAGTGCCAATTCACGCTGTACGCCCCTTTACAAGTGAGACATAAGGCTCAAGAACTCCCTCAAGAACAGTATGGTGGGGTATTTTTTATCTTGTGATAACAAGAGATACACATGTAGAAGATGATCATGAACATCAGGTTGTGGGCGTGCTGATAATTTTGTAGGCGCACCGAGGCCCGTGTTTTTGTGATTTTTTGCGCCAAGGCGCCACTTGGCATGCCGGGCGCGTTTTCTTACAAAAAAAATTGCCAACAACCACAATGTTGTTTATACATTGTCATTTATTCTATGTTTGTATTGCTAGAGCTGTCTACCACCACCAACTTACCTTTTGGAGGTGAGAAAAGCTTAAAAGAGCTGTCTTCAAAGCTCACAGCAAGGATCCAAGTCTCCAATATTGGTGACAGGACATAGAACTTCAAAGATATGGTGTGTTTTGTGAAAGGCGTGCCGACCCCAATTTTGCCGATTTCTTTGACGCCGCGGCGCGCCCTTAAAAAGGCGCGCCAAAGCGCGTTTTTTGCGCCGCGCCCACAACCTGACATGAACAACTTTCCCTGCGGAGTCAGGTGAACTTTGTTTGTGAGGGAAGCATGAGATTCCAAAAAACGACTTAAGGACACTTAAGGAGTGTAGTGCTCATGCCAAAATTCCACAATTAGTCATAAGCCCCTCTGCAAGGGCGCGGACACGGCCGTCCCAAGAGGGCTTTGTTAAGCTAACCCACCGTGAGGCAATACCGGGGCAATGGCTTGTGCAACATCTTAGCCGCTCTCCATCCCCACCTACAGTTGCCGCTCAATATAAGCACACATTGAGTAACCATATTTTGCTATAGGAATCAAATTTTGGTGAAACAAAAATGAAAATATGCAGTACGCTCTGTTCGAAATGTTGCATCGCGCTTTGTAAGCATCAAATTTGGTGCATTTTTAATGATGCTTGCAGTGCGTGGCGACTGTAGTTGACTTTTTAATTGGGAGCTGTCAACAAATGTCAACTTGATACATAAAGTTACTGCCAAAAAGTAACTGGGTCCACTGGGTTTTCTTGAAACCAGGTCAGGTTTGAGTGGGGCAATTGTCTGCAGTGCAGCAGACAATTCTGATCTTCAGATTCCGCAACGCTCTGCAACGCGTATTTTTTTGTTGCGCAGCCGGTGCTCGTTGCTGCAGCGCAACCAGTCCAGCATTGGTTCAATTTGATTACACCTAGGTATATGATTTTCAAGTTGTGATGGTTGCAAAACTAAAGCATTCAATGATAAAATCCATCAAATTGTGCAGGCTCAAAACAAGTGGGAGGAAGTCAAGTTTGTCAAATTGGAGGAAATGTAGGGTTGTTTGTTGGTTTATAAAGATCAATCCAGCTAACAAAATCTAACAGAGAATCCAAAGTCGATCATTACTCTCAACTTTCAGCAAGACTTTGGTATAAGATTGATTATTGGGTCTCCTGATGCATTACAAGTTAATTTTTTTTGAAAAATAAAAACAGATTTGTATTAAAGTAGTTTAAGAATATGCTTTTCCATGCAAAACTTACAAGATTAAATGTATACAAGAGTCAAAACGAAATCAAGAATCAAGAAAAATTATAAAGAAAAATCTATCGTTGAGAGGTACATAGGTATAAAAAAGATGAATGGAATTTATGAATTTTCAATCAGAATGAAAAAACCAAAGAGTCTTTCCAAAATCAAATGCTAAAACCAGATCCAACCGTAAAATCACTAACAGTCATCACACTACTTCTACTTTGATCACGATCCGATAAATTAAATTGATCTGAACTCGAATGAATTTCTTGACTACCAGCACTTGCAATAGTTGATAACTTTCTTACAAGTCTACCATCATTCATTCTAATAAAGACAGCTTGATCGTCTTGTCCGATCGTCTTTGAAGGTTTGAGTGATAGATCATTTTCGACGTCTAGATCAGGACTAGAAGAGTAAGATCCAGATGAAATACTTGAAGCTGTTCTAGGTGTTCCGATTTGATGTTCTTCATTTTCATTCGATTCATTTCTTATCATGACGGATGGTGTCATTTGAAAACACGAACCAGATAGATCATCTCCTTTAACTTTTCGACGCCAATGAAGTGATTTGACAAACGATTTAAACTTCGTTTGTTCTTCCTTGGCAGTTAAAGTACTCGTTGGGTTTTCTTCTGGATTCGCATAATCATATGTCACCCTCATGGAAAAAGATGGACTTAAGTTGGTCGTAGGATGATGAAAGATTGATCGACGTGCAGGTGAATCATGTCGGATCGAAAGCTCTTCGTAATCAGGTATTTCGTTCTCATCTTCTGGATTGGTTGGCCAAGGTATATAAATCTCAGCGTGTTCGACAATGGATCCATCGCTATTGACTGCATTACCCCATGTATTGTGTCTATGATCATTCCAAGCTCGCATATTCTTGATTCCATGTGTACCACCCATTACATCTTGAATTTGATTATAGGCCTTCTCCTCCTCACGTTGTGGCATATGAGGTAATTGATCGGATCCAAGGAATTCAGTCACTTTAAGATTCGATCCAAGGGCTTCTGCGTCATCTCCAGCATTCAACGCAACGATGACTGTTTGATGTTCATTCAAAATCTGTTGGACCTCCTTTGAAGATAAAGTAGGCTCGACAATCGCCGTTGTCGATAAGACCTTCTTAAACTTCCCTAGAACCACGAGCCATAAGATCTAAAAAAAAGTTTACATCGATTAACAACCTCGATTCAGAAACGCATATCGCATAAAAAGAAAGATCATCAAGACTTACCGAAACGATAATGGTAATCAGAACCCGAACACTGCTAGCAAGCACCCATGGTTGAAACTCTGTAGTGATAACAGAATCTGTACTCTTACACTCAGGGTCGGTGTCGCTCCAAGTGAAGTCGAAGCCCCAATTACATCGGACGGAGGTTTCTTGCTTGAGAATAAGAACCAAGATTAAACTATTTAAGGCCATAGCAATGTTGGCCACACTACTAACAGCGCTGAAAATAAGTAAGAAATCAGAAAAAGCACTAGCTCTTCTAGCCTATAGAATAAAAAAACAAGAAAATCAGAAACTCGAAGCAATATATAGACTGTTGAAGGTAAAGGCTTACCATTCTAGCCCAAACCAATACACCAAAGCCAGTTAAGATTCCAAAAGAGTAAACTCCAAGCTGAGACCAAAGGATTTGAGTTTTAAGATAAATGTTATCTTGATTGTGATCCAACTTTAAACCCAATAAACTAATGACCACTTTAACCAACATCCAAACTTGCCCGCCGCATATGGCCAAAGTTATCAATCCAACCAAAATCGAATATTTCTTAAGCATTGATCTTCTTTTTGAATTCCGATGTCGATGTAATTCATTCATTACAATTCCTACATCTTTTCCTTGAAGTCCTAATTTCGAACTAATCCTAATCAATTGATGTCCAAATGGACCAGTACTCAAACCCTTGTTTCTTTCGTCATCAAAGTTTAACAATGGTCCGGTTTCCCGACGTACTCGAAGTGGTAATGTGATAGCTTCATTCAATACCTTGTATGGTTTTTCAGGTGATAAGAAACCCGACGATGGTTTCTTTCTAGGTGAATTGTATAATGAGATATCCTCTAGGGTGAGATCATGATCGAAACCCGAAGTTTCGGCCCATTCAGCTGATTCAGATCTTTCACTTTGAGGAGAAGTGGGAGGAGAATGAAGGAGGATTCGTGGTGTAGTTACTGGACTTGGAGTTCTAGAAATCGAACGATGAAAGTGATGAGGATTAATTTCGAAAGTTTGGTTGTAATCATCAGAAGCTGAGAAAGCCATTTGATTTTTGCTTAAAAGTCTATTAAGTAAAGGTTTGTGATATAGAGAGTTGAAGACAGATATGAGAATAGAACAGATTGAGGAAGTGATGAGGAAGGATTTCTAGAAGACAAAGAGTTCGAGCTTAAACACAAAGAAATATAGTGCTGAGAACAGCCATCGCAATGAGATGAAGAAATGGCAAACTTGAAAACTAGCTCATATTAAAATCAATGTCTACCTTTTCTTTTCAGCTAAAGCCCTGATATCCATCTCGGCTGAGAGTGACTTGATGTTCTATTGTAATCTATCATGAAACGCTTTCCTCAGTAAGCCTTTTACTAGAGTATACTGATAGTGGCCTAGGAGAGCTTTACGATTCGGACAAATGATGGCAACGCAACCTAAGGCGAATGTTCGACAATGTTTTGTCGTCCCTATTGAAAGATATAACGGTAGTGAAAGTATCACCATAATTAATCGTTGACTATACTTGGCTAGCATCATCGTATGGACTCAAAATTGCGGAAGTTCTCTTTAGAGGCTGCAAGAAATAAAATTTGATCTTTAGCCAAGAGATCATAAACTTGGCAATAGCATTGAAACAAAGTCATGATTAGGCTGCCCATGAACCCGCCACTTCTAAAATACATCGCGTCTCTAGCCAAACTCACATTTCACAAAGCTTAGAAACCGTTCTACGAGTCAATTTGCTCAAGTTTGTAGGCGAGTCAATTTCGTGTTCCTTCAAACTTTCACTCACTCTCATTATCTTACCCCGGTACAATAGGACTTCGTTAAGCTTAATTTCACCCTATGATCCATGACAAAGAAACCATTCAAGATATATCTGTTTTTTTCATTTGATATATATTAATAAAACATACAAAAAAGCAAGTCATAAAAAAAGATAACATGTATCAACCAGGTGAAAAAAACACCTTTACAAAACAAACCCAAAAACAGTAATCTTGTAATACCAAATCAACAAAAGAATGTCCCAAAATCATATAAAAAAACTATAAATTTAAAAGAGAGTCCTTTAACAACAACAAACAACAAACAAATAACAAAAAACTTGATAAATCAATTTTGAACGAAACAAAAAATATTCAAAAAAAAAACATTTTTTTCTAATTCAAACTATCAAAAATAATAATCCAACAATAAAACATTGCAATAACCTCTATAATCATCACACCATACTTCTGTCTGTTCAAACCCTTTACTTTTATTTTCAAATACATCAACTTTGCAAAAATACAAACCAACCTTGCTCCTTCCCCCCACTCCCCCCCAAATAGAGAGCACAAAACTTAACCTCACCAATCGATTTTCATAAAGCTTTAACTAATGTAAACCTAACTGTATGAGTATCACTTCTTCTTGGAAACAAACCAGTTGGATCATTCAACAATTCTTTAATGAATTCCAATGATTTACCTAACCCATCGATCCCAATCGAATCAAATTTCCAATCAATTAGAAAAAATAATCATTTCTCAAACCTGATGAACAAATCTGGGAAATGAAAAGACTAACCTGCCATAGGTAATGAACGAGATCCTTGAAGTCTTACTAAGATCCTTTTAACTTCATCTCTTAATGTACCACTTAACCCAATCTCTCCTAAAGCTTCATAAAACCCAATCAACCTACACTGAGTTCTCAAAGCCTATTCCCCGCCCCCCGAAAAAAAAAACAATCAATTCGAATCCTACTCAAGAAAAAAAAATCTCAAAACTTACAACAGTAAGAGTAAAATTCAGTGAAGAATTAGAAGATAATAAACTACCGAAATCAACTGATGGAAAATCTAAATCAAGTTTATTGAACCAATCAATTAAAACCCTCGCAGATCGACTACAGATCTGTAAACTCAAATCATTTAGATCAATCGATTTTACAAATTCTTCATTTAATTCAATGATTGATGAATGAGCTGTTGCATGCGCTGTTAAAACTGAGAGGTATTGTATTCCCATCAGTTCTTCGAAGATGTATATAAACTATTTCTTAGAAAAATGAACTTACGACATATGTTCAGTTTCGGTTGAAATGGGTCTCTGAATGGAGCTGGAATCGATTCGAAAAAATCTCCGATTAACTTATTCAGCCTTTGCCTTTCAATCCTATTCCATGCACAAATACAAACGTTAGTACATTCTATAACTTGGACTGACTTTCTGCAATTCAAAAGGGTTAACTCAACTCCGAATCATCATCACTTTGACAAGGATGACATTTTCGATATCCAAAGCTAGTCACTTTTCCTAACAAACAACTAGCTAAACCCATTCGAAAAGAAAAAAGATATGAGGTATCAGCAACTAACTAGCCTCCTCCATACCGGAAAAAAAGAAACCAACCTTTGATTAATAGTTGAAGTACAGCACCGTTTCCATCGGTTTGATGATCAATAAAGAATCGATCGTATCTCAAGAATTGTGGTTGAGAGCCCATCAAACTTAATGTACAATCATCTTCTCTAATCGTCTTAGCAAATCCACCAGCTCCAGCGCAAACTCTTTCACAGCAATACAGATACCACCACATCAATTTCCTATGAAACACATTTCCCAAAAGTTATCAGTATGAAGGAACCATATCGAAAGTGAAAGTGGGAAAAAATCCAACCTTTGATTTGGATCATGATCACTTAATCCTTTAATCCCATCATCCCAAAGTAAAGCAATCCCAGAATCAAGATCGGGTTCTTGATCTTCTTCTTCATTAATCCCAAGTAAACAACAGATCCTAATCGAAAACCCTAACCATTTCCAAATCAATAAAGGTCTTCCTAGATTACTAAAGTATTGACTTAACATCATACTCGCTTCTGATAATTCTAACAATCGATCTGGATCTTTGATTTCAGATAATCGTATCGAAAGTAATCGACCTGCCCATTCTGCATGATATTGGGCTGGTGTTTCGGTTGGATACCAATAGGGATGTATATTACTAAATTCATCTGGATGATATGAAAGAAGGTAATGAGATCCTAGAGCTGAAAGTGCATGTAAGAGACCGATTTCAGGGAATCTTGAGTTGTGGGCTGATAAATCTAATCGGCTTAGGACCGATCCTGGATTGATCAATGAGAACGGGGAGAGGGGTCGGGAGAAGACAGTTCGAAGAAGAAGTTTTAGGATCCGACGATAGGGTAGATGTTGTGGCCAGCTTTGTTCTAGTAACTCTGTGGGCTGTTGAATAGGAAGTGGTGGTGGAGAGCCGACAGGATCGTTGGAATAAGACGAACAGGGTGAGGATGTCAGCGAAGGCCATGAGATTGGGTATTGATGGTTCATGGGATTCTGTGAAGTCGGGAATTGTGAGTAGGCGAGAGCTAGCTCAAGTGGAACGGAGCCGAGGTACTGATCGGGAGTATGGTTGACTAGTAATGGAGTACTCATTTCATTCAAATCGTATATTTCAGAACCGAGTGTCACTGGAAAATGAGCATCAGAACTACCAATGAAGCCTTGGGAAGGGAATTCGATCGAGCTAGTAGATTGAAATTGAGGATATGACTCCGTTGTGTTTGGTGGAGTTGGAATAGAATGTCCTAAAGGGATCGGAGTGGTAAATTGAGATGTAAGGAATTGATCATGATGAGTTTGTGACCATTGGCCATTGGTTCGATTTTCTTCTTCTTCCTTGGCTGCCAAACGAAGTTGAGATAGTTTCTTTTGAAGTGAATCTAATTTCTGTTCTAATTCGATCACTTTTTTACGTTCTTGTGCATCAGAAGTTGGTTTGACGACAGATTCGAGCCATTTAGGTGGTCGATCATATTTACATTGTGATTCTTGATCAGGTCCAAGTCTTTTACAAGAAGTACATGAAGGCTTCAAAGCGTCACATTTTGTCTAAGATTGAAATAATGGTCACATTGTTAGATTGGAAAGCGATCTTCAAATAGGAAAAGAGTATAGCATATAGCCAGCTAAGATTGAGATGGTTTTTGAAAACTTACTTTTCGAGCTCTACAACTCAAACAAGCCTTGTTCCGATGAAGTACGTTTGACTTTCGGTTGTTTTGATTGAGCAATTGATTGAAAGTAGAGTGTTTACGATTCGGAGGATTTGACGAATTGGTTTTGATTGGAGGTTTTGAAGTTGAAAGATGATTCGAATCAATCAAGAATGGTTGATGATCGCTGTGAATGTGGGTAGTAGGCGTTGGATATTGTTGAATTGAGAGAGCATTGAATGAAGATGGATTGTGAAACTGATGATGATGATGATATTTAGGAATGAATGAATTTAAATCTTGATGATATGAGTTTGAGATGATTTGATGATGATGATTGGTGTGATCGATTTGATGATGATGATGAGTATCATTGATAAGATTGTTATTATTATTATTTTGAGTAGTGAACATGTTGAGGAATGAAGTTGAGGATGAATGGTTTTTAAGAAAGTTGATGATGAGTTAGAGTAGTATGAGAAGTTAAGGTAAATTACATTTTTGACTTTCTTTCTTTCATTCTTTGATTTCTTTTCTTTTTCTTTTTCTTTTGATGATGTTCTTTTCGTTTCTCGGTTTTTGTAACTTTCTCAATAATCTGGGTACAATGTATGAGTTTAAGGTATAGCAGTATATTCAAAGTTTCTCAATCGGATTCAGTCAATAAAAACCTTTACTTCCTACTGACTGACTTAAATTGTTACTTTATCACTTTTGCTGACTTCAACCAATCAAGCTCTTCACTTTAAAACTCAAGTTATCAATTCTATCTAAAAGCACTTTATCCTAACTTGAACTTGAAACTAGAACTCTGTAACGGAGATCGATTAGCCGAGCTTCGAAGCCGAGAATGTCTTTCTTGCATCACCGGGATATCCAATTTCTGTGGCTTACGACCTCCACCATTCACAGCTTGGTAGGGTAAATGGAGATTGAGACTTTGAGATTTCTGATGAACTGTTCTTCCAGCTCACTTTCATCAGAATTCAAAAAAATTAATCGAAGGAAGGTAGATGATTTCTTCGGTTGCTTACCTTTTTATCGCTTATTTTGAGATGATGACTTCAACTTGCAAGGCCAAAGTTAGACCTAAGGATGTACAATGTAGGCAGTCAAGAAGAAAGCAGATGTTTCGCTCTTCTTCCTTGCTGTTTTGCTTGTTGACTAGGCCTTCGCCCCGGCCCCTCCCCGGCCCTTCTCGGTTCTCCCGAAGCCCGCCCCCGAAATTCCCCGGTGAAAAGGTTTGCAAAAACTGGTCCCGGCTCCCGAGCTCGCAAGTGCGGGAGTCGGGGATCCCCGGCAAATCCGGGGGCGCAGCGTAGATTTAGCTGTGCAGGCCTTGCTTTTAGCGCGTTTTAGCCCCTCCAGCTTCCCCGAGGCCCGCCCCCGCAAGCTCCCCGCCGATCGTTCCTTTCCAGCACTGATCCCGGCTCCCGACCCCGCGGGGACGGGAGCCGGGGAGTCCCCGGAACTGCGGGGCCGGGGCGAAGGCCTATTGTTGACTGTTTCTGACTTGTTTCAAAAAAGAAACAGTGTTTGGCAAAAGATAGTTTACTGGGGGAGAATTGATCCTGGTCTGCTGTGAAAGATACTTGTTAGCATTTCCCAGCTTGAGCATTTGGGTTCAGGAGCCTGGAGGGAAGGTTGAAAAGGATATCCATAAAATCCTTAAGTTCTGGTCAACAAGAACCTTGCATTGAAAGTCCATCAGACGCAAATGGTACATTCTTGATCAACTCCTTGTTCTCAATCCAATTTACAAATCAAACACCTTATCCTCAAAGCTAGCTTCTGAGAAATGTGATTGTTGTGACAAATTTCTTTCAATCACAATATGCTGTCTTTCTTGCAGCCATGTGAGGAGGTAAACTCAAATATCCCTTCTGAGCTGTACTGGCCAGCTCAAATTGGAGTCTGAAGAGCTCTCAAGGTCTCCCTCATCACCATGGCTTTGTTGCAGAAGGAGATCAATTGCATTTTTTTTGCCAGACAGTGACTGCGCAACTGCACAGCTTACTGCATTTGCCCCTCCAAAATAATTGACCCAGTTCAATGTTCCATGTGATTGATGCAATACAATTTGGGGGATCAAACCCTCACACTATGTATTACATACAAAACATGATTCATGGTGAAACTCTTTCTAGCTAGGTGTCTGGTTGATATATTTGCACTGCCAACAAAGAAACCTCAAGGTATCTTTGGACATAGATACCCTCAGACTGCGTGTCAAGGTAAACAAACCAAGGGTTTCTTTAAACACAAAGAATGCCTCAGGTTAAGTACTTGGACACACAGTCCAAGGCTACTGTGATCCAAGAACACATCATATTTCCCAATCCACAGCATCTTTGTTGGTAGTTTTGGTCAAGTTTTGCACCAAAAGTATGTGTACTGCATCTATCCACAACTATAAGAGTGAAGCTGGATGGATTGGGCACAACACCGTGTCAGAGATCATAGATTTTCTTTTGTTATGAGTCAATGACTATGGCCTCCTTCTAGGCAAAAAGTGAGATACATATACAGTCTACCTGAAATGGCCACTTCGGAAGTATCTATTCTGTTCTTGTACACCAAATGTTCTGTGAACATCTTTCTTGACTCATGTTTTACTGTCATGTTATGAATTGCTTGATAGTGTCAAGAATCCTAGACAGTTGGATTTATGCCAATGCCCGAGGTAGAACCCCAACATGTTTGACTTGTGTGATGGTAAGATAAAGATGTTTGATTGCGGAAAGCCAACTAACAAGGAGTCATAACATGAGGGACCAAAAGTACCGTACACATTCAATGCACAACACAAGTGCTGTACACTCTTTACAATTTCAAAGTTTCTCATGAAGTGGTACTTAGAAGAGCATATGCTTATTGTAAGCATAAGATGAATATTCTTTGATACATGAGCAGGTTCAGAAGATGTAGGTGAAGGGAGATGATAAGTATGAAAAGGTGTTTTCAAAAGTTATGAGCAGGCCAAAGCTTATAACTGCCACTGTGCAAGAGTTCAGAAGGCTAGAGTATCCTTGGGGTTGGTTGTCTACAAATTTGACCAGCTGTCATTCGAGTTTCCAAAGGAACTTAACCAACAGTGATAGAATCTAGTGTCCATCTGGAATCGAACAGATCAGCAACCCCTGATAGGATGAGAAAACCAACTGACCCAAGCTACGAAGTTGAGTATGCCTAGTGTAAATCAAAGAGGATCACAATCTCGAAGCGCTGCACAAAAAGGACTCGCCATCAGTCAGAATTTCAAAAAGAGAAAGCCAGGACAGGGGCGAGCTTACCAGCCGCTTGGGGCATGTCAGTACAGCTCACGATGGCCCTCTCGGTTGTGCGACAAGCTGATCATGTAGTCATTCGTCGCAGTTTGATCATAGGATAGGTAGATGAAAGAGGTAAGCTTGGATTGAACATTTCAAGATCGATTGTTAGTTATAGGTACTTACAGATACCGTTGACCACCTCCGAGTTTGACCAGAACGTATAGACATCCCGACAGGTGACCTGAGGGATCATAACTGGCTGCATAGGGTCAGGTGGTGCGGGCGAACAAGTAGTTCCTGTATTTTAATGACGAGTTTAATTTGAGAGATGTGGATTCAGTAAAAGTAGAATCTGGGTAAGCGACTTGAAAAAGATCATTAAGCGGTCACCTTTTGCCTGCTGTGTGAGGACTTTGGGACATTTCCAGCGTGAGAAGGTTGATCTACTACCACCGTCGTCAAACGCTTTGCATACTGTAACCAACATATGAGAGGAAAAGAAAGTCAGCCTTCCTAGAAATCTTGCCATGGAAAAAAGACCATGGTGAATGATTCCATCATGGATCGATGGGAAGATAAAGAACTGACAGTAATTTTGGTCATCAAAAACTTCGAGTCCAGCAGTACACAAGACCCGATATTGCTTGCACATGATTGTTGACACGAGTGCCAACAAGATCGCGATGAGCGGAGTTCGAAATGTAAGCATTGTAAGTATCTTTGCAGGGAGAAAGATGGAAATTTCAGTTAAGGGTGATGTGGATATAAGGGGATGAGGAACTGTCAGGACACGACTCCGAACCCGCCAGATGTGCGTGTGATTGAGAATTACAGCACATCTCGGCAAAAGACATCGCCCGGGTGGCTTCCAAGTTCTTGTCCCTTCCGGAAAAACAACAGCATAGCTCTACTAGAACCCTTAACGATGAAACGAGCCTTCGTTTTGGAGGGAGAGATAACAAACCAATTGATTTAACCGGTCGGGTGAACGCAGACGGATGATCGAAATGGATTTGTTTAAATCCTGTTTCCTCCTTGTAGCTCATGAGTCATCTCTGATCACTCCGTCTTTCATTTGCAAGAATGCAACCGTGTGTGTGCTGAAGAGGAGAGAGATGATGATGAAAAACGCTTGAGAACCTGGATGAGTTGAAAATGGCCGATGAGACTCGCGGCGGCGGCCTTAAATCCCTTCCCCATGAAGTCAATCATGTCTTGCAATCCACAAGGAATTGGTAGTTCTTCTTTTGCGAAAAAAAAGCCCTCACACACTACACAAAATATAATATTTTCTGGGCAGAAAATTAAATTATTGATACACAAAAATATTGAGAGGCCAGGAGAAGGGCAAAAAATAAATAAAAATATGCATCTTGTTCCCTGCGGTGAGAGCTTCACTCTCCATATTTTTCCATATTTTTACAGTCCGTATTGATTAGTGTACTAACAATAAACCTTCATAATCATCCAATTACAACCTGTAACAAGCACTGAAATTTGGCTCATTGGTGTTTAGAGAAACTTTTGATACCTGAAAACACCTATAACTTTGTCAAATCTGCATCAAAACACTCGATTTTAAGTGCATTAGAAAGCTGAACTCTTTTTCTCGAACTTTCATAAGATCAAGAACTATGTAGCTAGTATGCCAATCATTCTATGGATCTGTATGTACAAAGGTATAAAAAAGGTGATATCTTTTTTAGCAGACCAGCATGCTGTGTGGTCCTATTATGAGCTATTTGGAGGACAATTCCAGCTTACCAATGCACCCAAAATTGAGCGTTTTGGACCGGAATTGAAAAAGTTATGAGCATTTTCAGAAATCAAAAGTTTCTCTAAACACTAATGAGCCAAATTTCAGTGCTTGTTACAGGTTGTAATTGGATGATTGTGGAGGTTTATTGTTAGTACACTTATCAATATGGACTGTAAAAATACGGAAAAATATGCAGAGTGAAGTTCTCAACGCGGGGAACAAGATGCATTTTTTTTTCTTTTTTTGCTCTCCTCCTGGCCTCTCAATATTTTTGTGTATTGATAATTTAATTTTCTGCCCAGAAAATATTATCTTTCTTGTAGTGACAGTAGGGCTTGCGTTAAGCTAGCTGACTCTTTCTTTATGATGAATCTTTGAGGAAGAAGTAACTCACAACCCTTCTACTATCCTCTTTTCTTCCTTACTATTTCTTATCTGTACAAGTTCCATATGAACTTATAATACCAAGGCCGCCACAGATACGATACTAGTATCGGTATCGTGTGGCACCGTATCCGGTCACTTGGGTATTGTACCCTGAGTATCGTAGCCGGGCTACGGCTACGATACCCAAGATGATTTCTGGCGGTATCGCCGATCAGAGTACGGTATTTAGTATCGTACTCGGCCTCCGATACGATACCGGATACCCCGTTGTTGCAGTATCCGGACTGATTGGTAAGTCATCTATCCCCTTTCCAATCCAAATCTCCCTGCTTTGGATCATTCAAAGCCGATTTGGGCTTTTAATTCACCGGATTTTGGCTTCAATACGATGCCATACCGTATTGTCAGCAAATTTGACGATACGGTATCGTACCGTATCGCTCTGTTTTGTGCAATACGGTACCCCACATACCTTGGAATGGTATCGTTAGAGACGATACGGTTCTGGGTATCGTATCCGGAGCCGTATACGATACCCAAAAGTCAAATATGTGGTATCGTGCAGCCAGCTACGGTACTGGTATCGCCGATACGATACCGGTACCGTATCTGTGGCGGCCTTGATAATACCCAGGAGATGCTTGAATCATTTTTGCATTGTTTTGATACGAGATGATCAAAGAGTTGTTCATCTCAATGAATCAAATTTAATAGCTCTGAAATTTTCAAGGCCAGGTAATTTGTTTTAACTCAACAGTTTTGCCTGTTACATTCTCTCATCCATCAGATAAGGGTATCCAAGATTCGAGAAGTGGCCTGGAGAAGTGCCGAGAAGTTGGCTCGTATGCACACCGTGCGCGGATTCAGGATCCAAAAAAAACATCTTCAGATCGCTATAAGTTGAGGCTGCGAGATACAAGCAGACGGTCAAGAAGAGGAAAAAGCAAAGCTCGATATTATTCTAGAATTTATTTGATGGGTCAGACTTTTGAGGAATTTCCTTTTGCGGCTTTTGGAGCTGGAGATGCAAATGCCCAACCTCAAGAATGTAGCTCATCATCCGTACCGTATTCCTCTTGAAAGGTATGACGTTTGAGAATGGAAAGACCCATCTTGCTTTCAGCTACAGACATTCAAAGATACGTGAAGCGGGTAAGAATCCCCGATTATCGAATAACAATCGAACCCATCAACTTTTGGCTACACTTTTCTCGATGGAGAGGACAAATGAGCCTACTTGCAATGTTGCAGTCAAACTCTTACCCGAGGTTGATTACGATTCGTCTTATGATCGTTAACCATATTGGACACTGGGGTTCAAGAGGATTTCTGAATTCTTTTTCAATGGTCCAATTGTCTTGGTCCCAGCACAAGCATATCAAGCGCCATTGAGGGCACAAGCTGATGTCCCGCAGGGGTTGATGTACAACAAAACATACTTTTGTTTTGCTTTATTTCTCTCAAGCAAACGGGTGCACCAATGAGAATTTTCACCTTTGAACTACTGGGGTCTAAATTCTTCAAATTGATAAATGCAATACCACCTAGCTGTCCGCATTTCTAGAATGTCAATTAGCATTGAGATGAGGTCTCTCAAGTCTCTTTCACCATTATTGACTTATTAAAATGCCGTATTGTAAGGGGAGGTGGAATTTTACACCGCCCACTTTACACAGACATGGTCGGTGTAAAATCCCAAGGGTGTAAAATTCGAAAATTGAGGCCTTTTTTCGAATTTTACACCTTTTTTCTTTTTTTTGGTCCGTGTAAAAAAACTCTGTGTGAACAGGATGGTGTAAAAGTACGGAACCCGGACTCAACATTGAGTTTTGCACCGGAACTTTAACACTGAAAGTTTTGGTGTAAGAAATGCCTGTGTAAATATCAAAAATTGAATCCAAAGATTCAATTTTACACTGACTCCCTTTACCCCGACCAGTCATGTGTAAAGTTCAACTGTGTAAATTTGCACTTTGCATAAGCTCAGATGCACTTTTACACCGCATCCAAATAATTTTGACACCGCC